ACAAGAGTTTTTAAACGTAGAAGAGGGGGGAGCAGTGCTGGTGTCAAATGATGGGTTTTAAGAAAAGTGATGCAGTTCTCAGAAACCTATTTATCTTGTGTACCTAAAAATTTATAGCTGTTAATTGGCAAACCCCCTTCCCCAGCCGCTGGCAACCACTATTCTTTTCTCTCCTTCTATGGGTTTGACTATGTTGTTGTTATTCTTGTTTAATCACTAAGTCATGTCCAGCTCTTTGTGACCCCATGGACTGCAGCACACCAGGCTCCTCTGGCCATAGGATTTTCCGGGCAAGAACAGTGGAGTGGGTAGCAATTTCCTCTTCCAGGGGATCTTTTTGCCCAAGAGATTGAGCCTGTGTCTCCTGAATTGGCAGGTGGATTCTTTACCATCTGAGCCACCAGGGAAGCCCTTGATTATTTTAGATACTTCATATAAGTGCAATCATGAAGTATTTATTCTTCTGTGAATGGCCTCTTTCACTTCGGATAATGTCTTCAAGTTTAATCTGTGTTGTTGTATATTGCAGGATTTCCTTCTTTTTTAAGACCGAATAATATTCCACTGTATGTATATATCATGTTCCTTTTTAGAACCCACTCATCTATTAATGGATATTTAGATAGCTTCCATGTCTGAGTGCTTGTGAATAGTGCTGCTATGAACATGGAAGTATAACTATCTCTTTGATATTCCAATTTCAATTCTTCCAGCTAAATATCCAAAATTAGAATTGTTGGCTTATATGGTAGTTCTGTTTCTAATGTTGTGAGAAAACTCCGTATTGTTTTCCATAGTGACGACACCATTCTGCACACCAATCAACAGTGTACAAGGGTTCCAATTTCTCCATTATCCTGACTTCTTTAATAAGGTTCGTTCTTAGGAATAAAAGTTTATTCTTTGAGCTTCCCATACCTAGAATCATGGTCCTTCTTAGAGCCCCTGAGAATAAATATTTTTTGATGAATCTCTTTAGGTCCACATCCTAAAGTGAAAACACACATTCTCCAAGTTCTCTCCTCTTGGCGTTGTGAGTTCCACCATGGCATGGCCAGCCTTCCAGGGCTTGTCACTCTAATCCTCCTAATCAGGTCTTTCCTATTAGTTCAGTTCAGTGCTCAGTCAAATCCAACTCTTTGTGACCCATGGACTAGAGCATGCCAGGCTTCCCTGTCCATCACCAACTCCCAGAGCCTACTCAAACTCATGTCCTATTGGTTAGATCTAGGTACAGCCTAACAGGTCCCTCCTCTCTGTCCTTTACCTACTGAAAGGTAACACTGTAATGATTGTAAGTGACAAATGCATCCTATAGACTATTTTACAAGACATCTGGATATAGGCTCTATCAGTTAGGATAAGATAATTATGCTACAGTAACAAACAACCACACATCTCCATGGACAACGAAAGCAAAGGTTTACTTCTCACTGTTGGCACATGCTCTTGGTTGGCTGTGCTCTGCGTCCTCTTTACTCAGGGACTCAGGCTCATGACCCAGCAGTATGTCACAGATTGCCACGACGGAGGGAGGAGAGAACAGTGTATCACATGTTAACTCTTAAATTTGCTGCCCAGAACCAACACATGTCACTTTTCAAAGCTAAAAGGAATTACCCGATCATGTTAATCATCAATAGGCCAAGGAGCTATAATCCTCCCCTCGGAGAGACCAAGACTATGACTGAACAATAAAACAGATAGTTTCCAGTTACTGTTTATATTTTAATAGTAACTGTGGCAAGTCTATGATTTCATGGACACAGAAAACTGGTTTCTCTGTACGGCCTTGTAGGGATTTATACTTCCAGGCATTGAGCACCCTCCATATAGCAGTAATGCCTGCTTACTAGGGTGGTAGGGCAATGAAACCAACATCTCTATAAAGGATGCAAGAATGACAAAGCCTCAGTGGCTGACAGCAAGTCTACTTTCTCACTCACAGCACAGTTCTGTCATGACTTGGGTATCTGGACGGGCCAAATTACCCTCTTTTTGGCAGAGGCTGCATTTAATGACTTTTATGAGAGTCCCAAATGATTCTAAGCTGCCTTCATCTATCCTAATTGTATGGAGGGTGCTGTTACAGGGAACTACTGATTATCTTCAGGAACTTCAATATGTCTCACTGTTTTTCAAGAGAAGAGAGCCTAGTCTAATGAATGAAGCAATGTTACAAATGAAACATAATTTAGGTACCATTTCACACTCAGCAGTTTGTAATACACTTCCACTATGCTTCTGTTCTTCCTTTTTATCCACATCTCCTCTTGGCTTTAGGAGGTTTCGAATAGTTATTAAGTCCATGGTCAACTGAAGTGACCTTGCTCTTTGAGGTTAGAGGAGTAAAACAAGATAATAAAAATGCAACATCTTTCATCCCATGGCCTGTGGGATACAAAAGATCTTTGTAACTTTTCTAGGAATTTGATGTGCTTGTGGTCACTTGTGGCTTTAGAGTCTGATGTTTTGAGCTCACTTGGGTCTCATCTCCATAATCTCCTTTGCTCTTTGCAGATACGGACAAAAAAACTTAGACTTTTCTCCAGAACTTTTAACCAAAAAAACCCGACTCCAACACACTACTCACTGAAGGCTTGTAGTTCGGCCCCCTCCCACTCAAAAACCCTATGCAATGGGCTACTCTCTCCTCTCCTGGCCCTTGCCTGGGTTCTGGTTCCTCCCTCTTACTCTTAATTCAATCCCGTTCACTTTCTTATGCAGGGTGCTTTAACTCTTCTTTGCTTCTACTCTGCCCCAGGCTTACCTTCACAGAAGCCAGAGACTCAATGTCTCAATAAAACAAGGGGCTGTTTCTGCGAGATGGAATCATTGGTAGAGACTTTGTAATTTCTTTCTCAATTTCTCTCCCTTACTCTGTTGGCAGAAGAAAGCCATATGAAAATTTATTTTCATCATACAGGAGGGCTGCAGTGGCTGCAGTTTGGGTTTCAAATACTATTTTCCCTCTTCTTTTCAGGTACTTATGGACTTTCTTGACATCTATTTGTGATAAACTTACTTAACACAGAGGGCCTTAAACTTTTGGTCTCAGCAATCCTTCACACTCTTAAAAAATTACTAAGGGCTCAAAAACTACTTGTGTCGATGTGGGTTTTAGCTATAGATACCTACCGTATTAGAAATGAAAACAAAACTTTCAAATGTTCATTCAGTTAAAAACAAAGAATGCATACATCTTAACACAAGTGACATTTTTTTTTTTTGTGAACCACATTACCAAAACAACTTAGTGAGAATTGTTTTAGATTTTTGCAAATCTCTTTTAAAGTTTTACTTAATAGAATACAGCTGTTCTGCACAGTGTTTTGTAACATCACAAGCCACCCAGCCTCTAGGAAACACAACTGTGCACAGTTCATGCAAGAATAAGAACTAAAAGACAAATAATGTCTTGGTGTGAAAATAATTTTTATTTTGCCTACCACTATGACAACCACATTTTAATACATATTCTAGTTGTGCATCCTCTCAAAAAGAAAACAAATTATGAAACCAAAGAGACCTTGAATTAAATCTGAACCTTGAACCAAACTGTAGAAAGAACTCATTGGCTAAAATGCAGTCAACTTAAAAAAGCATACATGAGGATGAACAGAATCCAGCCAAACTCTTCCATCTTTGTCTCCAACTCATAAATTCCTACTCATTCTTCAAATCTGCTTTCTCTATAGAGTGATGCCTTCTCCATAGAGCTTTCCCCACTGTAATTAGTAACAAGAATGATAGAAATAATGTTATCATTAATAAAGGTAACTAGCTGTCATTGGTCTCAAGGAGTTAGTTCAGTCGCTCAGTCCTGTACGACTCTTTGCAACCCCATGAACTGCAGCATGCCAGGCCTCCCTGTTGATCACCAACTCCCGGAGTTTACTCAAACTCATGTCCATTGAGTTGGTGATGCCATCTAACCATCTCATCCTCTGTCGTCCCCTTCTCCTCTCACCTTCAATCTTTCCCAGCATCAGGGTCTTTCCCAATGAGTCAGCTCTTCACATCAGGTGGCCAAAGTATTGGAGTTTCAGCTTCACCATCAGTCCTTCCAATGAACATCCAGGACTGATTTCCTTTAAGATGGACTGGTTGGATCTCCTTGCAGTCCAAGGGACTCTCAAGAGTCTTCTCCAAAACCACAGTTCAAAAGCATCAATTCTTCAGCGCTCAGCTTTCTTTATTGTCCAGCTCTCACATCTACACATGACTACTGGAAAAACCATAGCCTTGACTAGACGGACCTTTGTTGGCAAAGTAATGTCTCTGCTTTTTAATATGCTGTCTGGGTTGGTCATAATTTTTCTTCCAAGGAGTTAGCGCCTTTTTATTTCAAGCAATGCCAAAACACTGCACGTGTTATCTCGCTTAACTTTCATTCTAACACTGAGGAAGGTGCTGGCTTCACTTTACAGATTAGGTGGGTGAAGACTGGAAAAGAAAGGCCTCTAGTTCTGTGTGCACACCTGATCTGCCCTACCACTTACTGCACCCAGATGGTCACCATCCCTGTGCTTCGGTCCCGCACAAGGTGGGTCGATGAGGTCTGGGTCAGGCTGGGTCGCCTCCTGTCCCCCGGCAACCCGCGCGGCCGGGCTCAGGCAATGCCCGGAGCCACGAGAAAGGATCTAGCTTCCCGATCCCTTAGTTCCCGGGGCCTACACGCCGCAAGCGGGCTCGGGGAGCTCGGGACTCCGGGACCTTTCCTCGCGCAGCCAAGCCCGCCGAGGTTTGCCGGGAGGAAAAAGTGGCGCTGGTATGAGCGTAGCCGAGGGAACCGGTCCACGCCCGCGGCGAGAGGCCGGAACCTTTCTCCTCTCTCCGCGGCAGTCCCGCGCGAGGCGGAACTGTTTTTCTCGCATCGCTGTTGTCGGGCGGAGGGGTGCGGACACCGGAACGGTCCTCCAGCCGCCGGGTCGTCGCGCCGCGGTCGCCGGCTGCTGACGTGGGCCGGCCTGGTGGGGCAAGAGTGGGTGAGGGTCGCCATGGCGGTGGACATCACACTGCTGTTCAGGGCCAGCGTCAAGACCGTGAAGACGCGCAACAAAGCACTGGGAGTGGCAGTGGGCGGCGGGGTGGAGGGCAGCCGCGACGAGCTGTTTCGCCGGAGCCCCAGGCCCAAGGGCGACTTCTCCAGCCGAGCGCGCGAAGTGGTGAGCTGGTTGCTATGGAAACGGCGGGCTGGAGAGAGGGGGGCGCGGACCCCAAACTGCACTGTCTGTGTCCGGCAGAGCAGTGTGTCAAAGAAGAGCCTGGGGAAGGTGGTATGAAGAGGGGAGCGGGAGAGCTGGTCCCGGAGAGCTGACGGCTGTCTTGGGAAACGAACAGTCTTGGGTCTTCCCTGGTGCTCAGACGGTAAAGCGTCTGCCTTCAGTGCGGGAACATCCAGGTTCGATCCCAGGGTTGGGAAGATCCCCTGGAGAAAGGAAAATGGCAACCCACTCCAGTACTCTTGCCTGGAAAATTCCATGGACGGAGGAGCGAGCCTGGTAGGCTACAGTCCATGGACTCATAAAGAGCGAACTTCACTTCACTTTAGGTCGAAGAATGGGGACGCATGTTGGGAACTCGAAACTCTGTCAAGTTCATGGGCTGCTTCGTGAGGTAGCGATTTCGCTGTCACTCTGCAGACCTGAACGCCGGCGAGGCTTCCCCATAGTCCTCTGCTTTCCGGTCGCAACACTGGCCGCGGTGTATTACTTCTTTGGTTTAGTCGTCTCATCGCCTTCCCCTTTCTTGCCCCGCTTCGAGATCGCGTTCAACTGATCTCTCATTTCCCCGTTGCTTCTCGCAATAGATCAGGACTCAGGCTAGGAACAGGCTAGTTTGTAGGGTGGTCTTTCACAAGCATGCTCTATTTCAGTCATCTAAACTCCTTTCTGTCTCCTGAACACAGCCGACTTCCGCTCAGGAGAGCCGTGACCTCCCCCTTAAGGGCAGGAACAGTGTTGACTTCACCGCAGAATCCCCAAAGCCTGACTCGTAACATTGCTTAGTAAATGTTTGTTGAAGGAATCAATGAACAAATGGTTGTCTGTCTTGCACTACACTGGAAACTCTGTAAGGGGAGAGAGAAAGTTTGCCAGGTTCACTTTTGTATCCTTGCCACCAAGGATGGATCTCGTTTTTGTGGAGCTTGAAGCTTATACAGTTCTGGCTGTCCTCTTTAAGAAATAAAAATCCAAAATCACAATAAAAGGTTCAGAGCTTTGGGAGGTGCACGGGAGGGGCCCTGAGGCTTAAACTTCATGGTAAATCCACTTCTGTTTGATACACAGTGCATGCAGTGTCTGGTGCTTTGTAGACAGTCACATTTTTCAATGAATATATGTATGCATGAATTAGGGAGTAGCAGGGTGCAAAGGATATTCAAGCCTTGGAAGGAAAGTTGGTTCAGATGTATATATTCAGTACATCAGAAAGCATCTATTAAGTGCCTACTTTCTGACCACCATTGTGTTAGAATAATGTGATTTAAAAGGAATGGCGGGCAGACATATTACCAAAAGAAATATCATAAAGCCTTGTAGATGTCATGTGGGACACAAAGGAGAGTGTGTTCAGTTAAACCTCAGGGCCAAGAGAGGCTTTACTGAGGAGATGATGCCTGAAACAAATCTTGTAGGAAGAGTTGTTGGTTCCAGTGCAGACAGGGTGGAGAAGGGCCTCTAAGGCTAAGAGAACAGTGTGCACAAAGGTGTGAAGCTAGGTAACGTTATGCTCAACTTATTTATACTCAATATGTGTCTACTGGTTGAATTACAGATTAGTAATGGCATTTCAGATTCTGGGAGGAGGAATTTTTCTTAGCTGAACAACTCCAAACAGGGATAATTATGGCTCTTGGCAATGTGAGCTTGACTCGTTTGGACAGTGGGATTAATGGGGATCTTGGGAGTAGAAACTGGGTCTTAAATTTAGAAGAACTGGATTCCAGTCTGCTACTTAGAAGTGGGTGACTTGAGCAAGTCTTGCTATCTGTGTCTCACATCCCCTTTCTATAAAATGGGCATGATAATACCCTACTTAACTGGTAAGCTAATTATTAGGATCTTATGAGACCTTGTACATATCGTAAAGAGCTATAATGATTATTATTGTTCCTCTTCACCCCCTACCTTGATTCCAGGTAGGCCATTTAGATGTATTTTCATCAGTGTCATGAAACTTTATTCCTTACACCACTTACCTCACTTGTACTTTCATTCTTTCTTGCAAAGGGAAACCAAGTCAATTCATAAAGGAATCTGAAAATCCTGTGCAGGTGCTAATAGCACCACTAGAGGAGACAGCAGCTTTCCTCTGTCGAGGTGAAACTATCCGCGATAGCAGATGTGTGGCAAGTGGGCAGCTCTTCCTCTCTCTCCCCTCTCTGGGACCGTGAAAGCTGGTGTTAATTTCCCAGCAGATCCCTGTTGCTCAGAATCCCGTGCAACACTGCCCCAGGCAGCTATTACCAGTTGTGGATCTGATATTCAAGTTGAAATTTACTGACATCCTATCTAATATATATTAATAGTAAAAACAGAATCTGTATGCCTAAAGCAGAACCATGGACTTTTTTTCTTTTTAGTACTTAAAGGGACCTGAAGTTTGTGTTGTTCAGGCTTCTCATTTTGTAGATGGGCAAACTAATATTCAGGTAAGTAAAATGCCTTGCCTTGCCCAGAGTAATAATTAATGAGGTCAAAGGGCAGAGCCAGAGGAAGAAGCCAGGTCCTTTGACCCCAGTTGAATGTTGTTTATTTCCCATCCCACACATACATTTCCACTCTTAATTTTAAACCAAAAATTCCTTAGTTGAGTTTCTTCTTCCTGAATTAATACTGAATTCATAACTGGATACTGACTAAGATTTGGAGCAGAAAGACCTGAATTTGAACGCCTCTTATTTACTGCAAGACCTTGGGAATGTTATTTAACCTCAATTTCCTCACTTCTAAAATAGAGTGAGTCATAGCAACTTGATAAGGTGGTTATGCACGTGAAATGAGAAAATGTGTGCAAGTGCTTGCATGAGTGTGAATTGTTCTGGTTGCAAGTAAGGGTACCCTCTTGTAAACTACCTGGAGGAGGAAATGGCAACCCACTCCAGTACTCTTGCCTGGAAAATCCCATGGACAGAGGAGCCTGGTGGGCTACAGTCCATGGGGTTTCAGAGTCAGACATGACTGAGCAACTGAGCACCCAGCACTGTGTAAACTAACCTGAGGAAAATAGGAATGTTTTGGCTCGTATACCTGGGAAACACAGGAAGGAGCTTCTTTTTTTAGCTCTTACCTGTAAAACTCCAGAAAAGGGCTCTAGTTGGTTCTGCTTGGGTCCTGAGCCCTCGTTAGGAAGTCATTCAGTCGTGTCTGACTCTTTGTGATCCCATGGACTGTAGGCCACCAGGCTTCTCTGTCCATGGGATTCTTCAAGCAAGAGTACTAGAGTAGGTTGCCATTCCCTTCTCCAGGGGATTTTGCCAACCCAGGGACTGAACCCAGGTCTCCTTCATCGCAGGCAGATTCTTTAGCATCTTAGCCATCAGGGAAGCCCTCCTTATGGCTTGGCCAATAGATGGGTTGAATGCTGTTATGAATGCTGTTATGGCTGCCCCACCAGAATCTTGGAAAAGGGAGTACTGTGTCTAAAAATCAGGGAGTAAGGGATACTGGGCAGGAAAAACCAACACAGATGTTCTTTCTAGTCCCTAGCACAGTGTCTGACCTGCTTTCACGTTACCTGCCTGGTCTTCAGCTCCATGGCGAAGAGAAAAACTAGAATTGTGGGAGTTTGTATTGACAGGCTTCATGCGGGAATGTATCTGGAGGTGCCTCCTAGGGAGCAGCTCTTTCATTCTCTTATTTATAAAAGTTACAGAGGCCAGGGGAAGCAACATGCAGTAAACCAAGACGCCCCTAAGCAGCCAAACTGAGTGTGCACGAACAGCGGGAGCCAGCCTGCCGGACGTCAGGAGACCTGTGTCCTGGCCCACGTTCAGCCACGAGGGGCAGACCACCTAGTCTTTCTGCGCCTCAGTGTCCACCTTGGTAAAACGGAAAGCTTAGGCTATGACTGTAGCAATTTCTTATAAAGCAGAGATAACTGTATTTACACCTAAGATAAACAGTGGCTCTGAGTATTTGTTGGGAATTCTGTTCTCAGATTAGGCATGCCGGTGAGTTTTTCTTTATTATACATTGCTTTTGTGAAAGCCAAGTGTCATTTATTTTTTATTTTTATCTTGAGTTCCTGACTTCAAGTCAGGCTTTTTACAGCAGCCCAAAGGCAAATGGTTTGTTCCCTGCTACCGTCCCAAGCGCCCTTCCTCTCACTCTGCTCCAGCTGCTCCGGCCTCCTTGCTCTCCTCAAACCCTCCAGGCACATCCCCACCTCAGGACCTTTGTGCGTGTTCCCTTGACCTGGAGCAGTTCTCTCCTTGGTGCCACGTGGTTTGGTCTTTAGGCCTCTGCTCGTGTGTTGCCTCAGTGACCCCTTCCTCCACTGCCCTGAGTGAAGTAGCATCCTTTTTCTCTTTACTCTGCTTTGTTCCTGTTATCTAACATACTGTGTATCCATCGACCTGTTTATCCACTGGAACATATACTTCATGAAAACAAAGACTCCTTAGGTTTTAGAGCAGTGCAGGATAGGTTCTCAGTAAATGTTTCTTGAATTAATTAATGAATGTTACATATTATTGTGTCACTTTGCTTTGAATTTTGGAGCTGGTTGATCTCTGTCTAAGGCGCCTTCCAATTCCAGAAAATGTGTGAGCCTGACATGACTCCTTAGTATGATATAGCATGTATGTACACTTAGGGGCTTCCCTGGTGGCTCAGATGGTAAAGAATCTGCCTGCAATGCAGGAGACTCGGATTCTGTCTCTGGGTTGGGAAGATGCCCTGAAGGAGGAAATGGCAACCCACTCTAGTATTCTTACCTGGGAAGTACCGTGGACAGAGAAGCCTGGTGGGCCACAGTCCGTGGGGTTGCAGAGTCAGCTATGACTGAGTGACCGACAGGCACGCACGTACACTTAATCCAGTGTCTGGAGTAAACATTGAATAAATAGTAGCTTTTATTATTAAGATTTAGTTCCTGCCTGAAGGAGTTTATAGTCAAATGGAGAAGCGGACACGTACATACCACAGCAACTCAAGTAGAA